ACTCTTTCCACGCAAGAGTTTATAGAAATATGTATGAGGTAAATACATACAGACATGCCTACTCTATATGTTACTGACAAATATATACAGTGTGTTTGTAACTCCAGTTAAGGGGAAGGTTCAGAATGTCCGTGGGGACACATTTCTCCAGGGCCTGTTCTCAGAAACCTGGGAAAGAAAAGCACCTAAGTTTTTAGGTTTCCAAGAAGACCCTTGCACTCTCGTCTTTTGGAAATTCATACTAGGGATTTTGTATTGTTTTGTAAACGTCTATCTATTTCTGGGCGATTCACATATAAAAGAAATGCCAAGTGTTAGGGTGTCTTCCTTAGTCCATTTTCTGCTTGCCGATTGCTGGCGAGAGATGACATTTTCCTTTTTTAGCTCCAGGAGCAAGAGATTAGCATCTGCATCCTAAAGCGCCCTCTTCACCTGTGGAGCCCGAGCGACGGGAGAAATTCGCTGCCTTTCCTGACTTCTGAAGGCGAGTCAGCCCTGCGACCTGCGCCAGCGAAACGCACTGGCGGCCGGGCGAGCTCAGGCCGGAACTGGCAGGCGAGGGCGCGCGGCGGCCCGGGTACGCTGGTCCCCAGGGCGCAGCTCCCGTGGCCCACAGCCTGGCAGAGTGGCCCGGGAATTTCTTCTGGGTGGGCAACTGGCGTGGGGCGTGTGTGTTGCAGGAGAACCAGTGCTGCGAGCTAGCTCGACCCTTTCTCTTTACACTTTGTCCGTAGAAAGTCCAGCGGCCTCCTCGCGCAAGAGACACATCTTATAGGATGGTGATACACCCCCTAATTCTCAAGCTTTCCATTAGGGTTTGAGTTCTGTTCGGAAGGTTCCCAGCCGCGGGTCTATAATGAAAGCACCGTTGTTCGCAGGAGTAGCGTCGCCTGCGGGGATGGGAAGGGGTAACCCCAGCCCGGGACTCACTCCATCGCCTACCCCAGCCCCCTTTCCAGCTTCCTTCCGCTTTGGTCAGCACCGGAGATCCCGGACCTCCACTTCTGCCCGCCCCCTCGAGAAGGCTTTTTAGTCGAAGGGACTGGGGTTTTCGTATCTACGGCGGGGGCGGGGAGGGGGGACAAAAGTGGCTCACGGGCAATTCGGGCCAGAATGTGCGCGTCTTTCCATTACAACCAGCTTCTGCGTTTCATCCCGCACATCACTTCATTATTGTTACATCCTGAGGGTGGTGTTAAGTGTGGCGTGAAGGGAGGAGAAAGGGAGAAGGTGAATTTTATAAAGGCAGTGTAACACTAGGAACCGGGTTTAGGAGCCTTATCAGGAATGCTCTTAGTTGCCAACGCATTTCCCAAACCTTAGAGTTCCCTTGGTCTTATTTGTTCCCAACAACTTTTTTAAAGCATTTCTCCTTTTTGATCCCCAAAACGCTCCCAAGGCCTGCAGCTATTACATGCCTTTCCTTATCTCATTTCGAGAAATGGTAACTACCAAGGTTTTCTTTTCAGAAAACCTAAATAAGATTTCTTAATATCCTTCAGCTACTGAAGCTTAAATGCATCTTTCTTCCAGGACTTAAGCACAGGGTATGGAGGATGCCGCCTTTACTGAGCAGCCTCCACTAGCGTCTTGGCCCAGTGGTCAATTAGGTAAGGAGAGTGAAATGGCTCAGGTGGATTTTGGAAATCTTTAAGCTTCAATGCCAAAGCGTATTAAATGTTTGGTGATTAAAACTGTGAAATGCGGTGCTCCCAGCAGCCGAGGACTGATCTGGTTCATTATCAGCAAGCAGTGTCATGGATGAGCAGCAAGATAGGTCTCTTAAAGCCTTTCAGATAAAAGCTTTCCTCAGGTTAAAATCGTATGATTCAAAACAAGATCTCCATTTCACATTGCAAGGTAAGCAGACCTGCCACTATATTGCAATCTGTTTATTTTGGCACATTTATTAAATGAAATTATGACTAACCACATAACATTCTGATAAACAAATCCTAACCAAGTAACCTGATCCTTCCTGGCCATTTGTAAATCGACAGCACCTCCTGCAGGAATTAATTTGCTAGTGTTAAATTATGTTAAATGTTAGGTCAGGGGAAAAGGGAATGCCCCAAAACTTGTCTGCCAATGCAGTTCCAGGCTCCCCCACAAATAAATGTCGCTAGGCACACAGAGATTTCTTTAGAAGAATTACTCTATTAAGGATAGGAAGAATGAAATATCATATTTCCCGTGGTTTTCAAAAACATGTCACCGTTGAGGGCTTTTTTGAATCATAGATTCATTAAACTTGGAAGATTGCTTTTTGGTTTTCAGTATAGAGGAATCTCTACACATACCACTAGGCATCCTTTTTTTAAAGCCTATCTCTTTGGTTTCTACTTTATATTTCAAAAGCAAAAGAATTAGATGCTAATATTTTTATTTATAAAATCACTTTCCTTTTATTTGTATCATTGGAGTACGCAGAGCAAGTAAGGTGAGCCTCTTTAAAGCTGTTATCATGGTTATGCTTGTATGTGAAAATGCCTCCCTTCAAAGTTTTTAAGTTTGCAAAGTTGGAATGCAAACTTGGGGCTCTCTAGCACCCTTGGGTGACCAAGGCTGAAAATCAAACAGCAAATCAATGTCTTCTATAACTTCATGAAATTTTCCTCACATTGGATGGGTAAGACTATCAGGACTATTGGTAGTATTTTATAGTTTTTCGTCTTACAATGAAGAATAATTAAACGAGATTAAAAAGAATTCCTATGGCTACTCATAAATTTATAAGTGGACCACATTTTTGTGAGAGTCAAATGAAAAACATGTGAAAAATGATAATGTATTTCTTTAATTAATTTTTAATTACAGGATGCATTTCAACATTTCTCTTCTTGAACACTGTATTGGTTCAGAAACTCTTTAAGGCAGGAGGTATTGCATAGGTTTTGACATTATAAAAATTATAAAGTCTAAAAAGCCTAAGACAGAAAATAATCAGTGCAATACTAATGAACTCAAAGTGTAAATTAGCAGTCTTTATCAATTTCAAATGCATGCTTTTTTTTTAAATGAAGGAAAGGGATCTTTGAGGTGCACTCTAAGTTATTAAAGAAATTCAAGTTCTTCCCCACCGACTCTGAAAAATCTAAATAATCAAAGGGTTTGTTTACACCTTTATTAGTTGCTTCTAAATTAGAGGACATTTGCGTGTGTGCTTATATGAGACAAAAACATATATAGCAGACTACATGGAGTAGTTTATTTATCGCCTCTTTCAAACTTATTTACTTTACAGAATTTATAAAATTATGACTGCCAAGCCTTAAACCATCTAATCATTATTTGTATGGTATTGTATTAAATGTTTAAAAAATGCAGAGCCCTGATAAAAATACTTGTCTATAATGTTTAGTATATTTTTTGGAATTGCATGTTACTTGTAACTTATACTAATTTTTTTTCTGTAGCTTTCCTTTACCAGATCCTTTGAAACACAGGGAAAATTTGCAGCAAGGTTAAATATGCCTTATATACCTATACTCATGGACTATGTCTGAATAGTTTACATTGGTCCATTTGTGACATTACATAAATATTTAACCTTTATAGGTAAAATCTTTAATAGCTGTAGGCCAGTAGTAGAAGGGCCATCTGTGATAGGTAGAATAATGGTTCTTTAAAGATGTCTGCATCTTAATCACTGGAGACTATGAATATGTTAGGTTATATGGCAAATAGGAATTAGGGTTGCAGATAGAACTAAAGTAGCTAATCAGTTCATTTTAAAATAGGATGATTTTCTTGGATTCTCCTTTTGGGCCCATTGTAATCACAAGGGTTCTTAAAAGTGAAAGAGGGATGCAGAATGTCAAAGTGTCAGAGTGATTAGATGTGAGGACTTGACTGGGGCCCTGTCCAGAGCCAAGGAATTCAGGCGGCCTCTGAAAACTGGAATAGGCAGGCAAACAGGTTTTCCCCTAGGGCCTCCAGAAAGAACCAACCCTGCCGACACCTTGATGTTACCCCAGTGAGACCCATTTCAGGCTTCTGATTTCAGAACTGTATATTTGTGTTGCCTGAAGTCTGAGGTAATTTGTTATGGCAGTATAGAAAATTAATATATCATCCAAATGTAATAGCTTATCCTGTAGAACAACAGGAGTTTAAGTCTTAAAAGAAATATTGATCAATCCGTTATTTAATTCATACTAGTGAATTTCAACAATGACTACACTTTGCTTCAAGTAAATTTAAATCTTAAAAGTAATAAATTTGAATTGAAAAAATTAAATTATATCCATTAAATTGTACTGTCATTCTTTTAATGATATTTCAGAACAAAGAAAATGTCACTGAGTTATTAGGGGTTTTTTATCTGGTATAGGGCACGAGACATTTACCAACAGAAAATATTTTTACAGCCCCAAAATAGATTACTTACAAATATCTGCAAAGTTCATTCTTACAGGATTCATGTAGTTTTGTACTTGATATGGTAGTTTACAGAGATGGAAAATTAATTTTTTTTTAATTAGACAATAGTACATAGTTTAGCCCTTGCTAAAAGTATTCAATAAGAAAGTGGAGATATTTTTATTCCCAGGTAATTGTCACATACAGTCTCTCTGTATTTGCTCTGCTTCTGCTTCGTTCTCTGTGTCACTCTAGTATGCTTATCTCCTGAGTTCTCGCTGTGAATTTTTCTTCCTCTGTATATATCCGTGCCATGATTTCTGGTGTCATTTCTTCTATTCTGCTCTTCACTGGGAATTCACTGTGGCCATTTTCTTATTTCTCTTTGTTTGTAACTACTGTGACTTCTGCTCCGGCTTCTCCTGCTCCTCTCATCCCCACTCTGGCTCCTGCTGCTCCTCTCATTTCTTTCAGATCTTCTCTTCTCTGGATTGTGGTTATGGCTCCTGGACTTTCTGTGAGAATAAGAATGGCTCCATTTGCTAGTCTCCCTGGAACTCTCTTGTTTTAAAAACCCAGGCTTTTCTTTAGTTTTTTTCTTGCTAGAAAGTTCTTCATAAAGCTTTCTCTTCTTAGACTTTTCCTTTTCTTCAAAATCACTGTTGTTACTCCTTGAGTATTTGTTTTTCTTTCTTTTCTTCTTTTGTATTTTTTTTTCTTTGTTGTCACTCTCACTCTCACTGCTGCTTTCTGAAGTCTCACTAGAGGAGGAGGAGGAGGAGGACGACGACGATGAAGATGAGGGGGATTTATTTTTGTGTTTTTTGTGTTTACTTCTGCTCTTCTGAAGCTTTTTCTTCTTTCTATCTTTTTTCTTTTTTTCCTTCTCAAGTCGATCCAATTTCCTGTTATTGAGAAAAAATAGTAACAGACTATGTAAAAACAGTTCTTTCATTGACAACTATGAAATTTTGGATAATATATTTTCTTAGAACATTCAAGACAGTCCTTACTTTATTAAATTATTCAAGTCCCATGTACATTAAGTTTAAATAAAAAATTAAGTGTATTAAGCCAATTTGCTCTCTATACTTTGCTCAACAGTAATGACCATTAAAAAAAATTCTGAATTAGAATTTGAAATTATATAGCACTCTAAATAAAAGGTTATCCTGACCTAAAGAAAGGGTTGTAATGTTTATTCATTAGACCTATTGCAAACTCAAATATATAGCTATAAGAGATGAAATATTAATTTTATGTACTATTTTAAGCTACAGATATTAATCAATATTACATTACCAAAATTCAAGAGCATATTCTCCAGAAATTCTGAATAAGAATATACTTTACATTTTTTATACTCTGTTTTTGGTTATATAAACCAAAATAATCACAACTAATTTTTCAACACCTGTTTAGGTTAATAAATAATTAGGGCAATTCTATGATGGTATTCTGAATTTCTAAAGAGTACTTCACATTCTCAGAAGAGTAACTTGTTTATATGTTGTGTTTGAGTTACTCTGAAATAAAAATGTCTTCACTGGGTTCTGTCCAGCCATTCTCAAAATTCTTCATATACTGAAACATCATGAGCGCCCTCTATTGGACTCAGCAGACATTTCTTGGATTCTTTAAACCAGACGCAGTCTGTTTAATAAGAGTCATATTTACCTTAAATTTAAGCATTTTTCAGCACTCTTCATAAAATCTTACAAAATATGAAAGGAGCACTAAATGGCTCACAACATTTTCTAAGAACAAACTGCAAAGATATATACAAATCTATTATAACAAGTAAAACCTACAAATAAATCTATTTCCAAATTAAATGTTCTGAAAACTGCTATGTTCTTTTCTGTTATAATCTAAGTATATAATCTTACATTCATTTTCATATTAATGAAAGAAAGACAAAATTGTATTACTGTAGCTGAAGAATAAATCATTAAATAAGTGTGATGTATGGTTACCTTTGTGAGCTCTTAGGATCAGAGTTGAATATTATACTAAGATGAAACACATAAAAAATGTAATTGAATCCATTAAATATATACTTTATAATTACCTGAGAAGTTTCTGTTTTTGTTTGGTTGTTAGTGACTTTAAAAATTCGACTTCTGGATCTTCTTCACCCTCACTTGCAACATATTCCTGAGTCAACAAAAATCATTAAATTGCTAGATTGCAAGACAGTTATGAGACAGGAGAGAAAACATTTATAAATAAGATATTTTGTATTAGGGACATACTGCAGATGAATGTGACATTTTGGATTTGAAAGTGGGAGGGGAGAATTAAAACATTTTTTTGTAGTCTATTTGCTAAGAAGGATCATTATGCACTAAGAAGTTAAGATGACAGCTTTGCTAACATTAACAAACTTTATTAGGTATAGGATAGAGAAACATAGATAAAACTCATAGCATAGCTTCTACTTTCTATCTCTTAAGTTTGAATAAATACTTGAGAGTTTAAGTATTTTATTTTAAATTTAATGAAATATTAAAACTAGGAAGATCATTAACTTTTCGGAAAGGTAAAAAGGTCCACAATTTTGGAATTTGTAAATTCAACAGTGTATTATCAAACATATGATTAGCAAATACATATCAAATATATCGAGCAGTACAAATAAATGATTATATAGGTTATATGAACAATCCCTAGCAATGTTTGAAAAGCAACACAAGTTTTCAGAGCAGCACAAGTTTACGCCTGTGGGAGTCTTGGTTTTAAACTCAGTTCTGTCTTGAAATTCAGGAAATCATTTTACCTCTCTGGGCTCTAGTTTCCTTCTTAAATAAAACAAATAAATGGTTTGCAATAGAATATCTACAGTCCTTTAAACTCGACTATTTTCTAGATCTATGTATAGTTAAATAAATTAATGTTTAAAATATTTTCTATACTTTTTAGGAGTTTTCTTTCATACTCTTCTCATTGGTTCTATTTGATATCACTTTAGGGGTAAGTTTGCAGGAAGGAAAAAATATCAACCTATCACCAGTTCAGTTAGATATTTCAACCACATATACCCAGAGGAGCTGTTTTATTTATTAAAATGCAGGTTTAAAAACAATTTCTCATTTACACTAAAATAATAAAGAAGCAAAATCCAAATACATTTTAGGTATTTTTTTTGATCTATCTTGCTTTCCTATGGATATATGCATATTGGAAAACATTAAATAGCAATTCACAAGCAATCATATTTAGATTTATAGACATTTTCAGCTTACTGATAAAAAGATCATTACCTGTGATGGATCATTTGCGGTCAAGTTTCTCCCCAGTACATTTCGTTTCAGTGCAAACCCACTGTTTCTCATCTCCGCTATTAGCTCCGAGGGGTGCATCGATGGCCCTGTTCACAAAAATCACAGTTTGAATGTATCATTTATATCTCTCTACCTTTTTCGGACTCCACAGTAGGAATGCAGTTGAAGCTTTGTTAAGTAAAATCACAGCTAAATCAACTCAATAATCTTCTGCTGAGCAAATAATCAGATATGATTTTCTAAAACAGCAGTCTGGAGATTCAGAATAGAAAATAATTGCATTTTTCTTTACGTGCTAGGGGATTCTCTTCTTATGTAACTTTCTCATATTGAAAAAGATACATTTAGATGTTACCTGCTTGGCAGTTTTTAGTATAAAATCAAAGTAAAATGATAAAAAACTGCAATTAAACTTTTAATAGTTATTCTCTCAGTAAGAATTCAATTTAAAATAGATACTTTTAAAGGTGCAAGAGCAATTTATTACTCTAGTTTCCAATTCAAAATTCCTTACCCTTATTTATCAAATACCAATACTAAATACATTGCCACGTGGTCGCTAATTTTCAATAAAACACATACACACGTGTGCTATGGGTATGATTACTTTAAGTACTTCAGTTAATCACATAGATATATAACTCCAGAGTGTGAAATTTCTAGTTATTAGTGTGGAGTTGGTAATAAGCAATTTTAGGCTGGCTATAGGTGTGTGTATGTGTTATATTTTCACAAGCTGCTGTTTCCACTTTTGCAAAATCCCAGACTGAAACGCAAGCTTATTTTTGGTCACTATGTATGTATGTAGGTATGTATGTATGTGTACATACACACACATACACACTCTAAAGATAAATAATATGGACTAAAGGTAGATATAATTAAAGTACAAAAATTTTAACTGTCTGTGACCTTCCCTCAGATATTCCTAGGTTTATATAAGGTAGGAGAGACTCTTTCTTTCATATATTCCAGTTTCATTCTGTTTTCCCTGCAGGTAGCAAATAATGACAACACTTCCTGGAAGTTATTTAAAGTTTCTGGCCTAAATTTTCTACACTGGCTTAACTGAACTACACTAGGCGATGTATCTGGAATATACAGAAGAATAAGACAATTCCTGCAAACAAAAAATTCATAAGGGAGGTAGGGGATAGAGAAACATCATTCAGAAAATGATTTTCTAGTTTTTGATTAAATACTTCATCTATTTTTTTTTCTTTTCACTGCTTTATTGGTCTTTTACCATTTAATGCATGTTCACCTACATGTTACATGGAAAACAAAAGGGAATAAAATTCAAATCAATTGACTTGTCAGTAGCATCCTTAGGAAAAAGTTTGGTGAGAAAAATTCAGGTGTCAGTTATTTAGTATCTTTCACCGGACTCTATGGGCTTTACCACTCTATTCATACTACCAAGAAAAACTGAAAGTTGGCTCTAGGTATTAGGGAGATAATAGGAAAAAAGTTGCCTATTATTGGAGCATGGGAAGTTATTAATAATGTGATACTTTAATTTACTGAGGAGAAAAAAGCCTTACTTGGTTGAAAACAAAACAAAAACAACATAAAGCAGCATCTTATTTCATTAATATTTTAAGAAAATGTAGGATTTTAAATTATTTTTAATACAAGATATTTAATTCCTATGAAGTATTCAATAACCTTTTAATTATTCAATTTGGATGCTCTATTAATAAAATCTTAAAGTTGAATTTTAAATATTAACACTGGTTGCCTCTAAATAACATAAAAGTGCTAATACAGCTAATAACATTAAATTCATTAGAAAATGTTCACTTTGGTGGCTTCTCAAATTTTATGTGTAGAAACATAATTTTATAAAGTAGAAAATGTGTTTTCTGAAGTTTCGAATCTGCATTTCCTAATCAACAACTGTTTTAGATGTCAAATGGATTCAGAAAGCAAACATGCTAAGAATTAGAATAGAAACCACTCCAGTAAAGGGCCGAAGAGCTTGGGCATTATGATGAAAGGTTACTAATTTCATCATTTTTCATCAAAAGATGGGTGTTTTTAATAAGATGTTTTAGAAAACATGCTTTAATTTACATTTTCATTACAGTACTTTCAACTACTTCAAGAAAATGATCTCTCTTTCCCCAGTCTGACAGATTGTACAGATTATGAAACATTACTCTTCTAGCATTTATATTTCTCCAAAACCTCAACTGAACTCTGTGTAGTACATATGCTTAGCATACACTTCACATTTTAAGACAGTGTTTAGTGAAGTACCTGATAAATAGTACTCAATAAATAATTAGTTTTGCCAGTAGCTGTAAAACTTTTATGGTTCTTTTATGATATACTCCTTTATAATTAAAAAATATTCCTGGTAGTAACATTTTTCAAAATCCAAACTTATTCATCTATTTTTGTACTTAAACCTCTTCTATCATCAAAACTTATGGGTTTGGAAGATGTGATAAGTCAGCTTTAAGTAAGATCTATTTAGAGAAATATCTATATTTTCATGTTACTGTAATGGTATCAATGTAGAGTTAAATAGGTGGAAATGATTTCAGCTCTCTCAGAACTCAAAATTTAGTTGATATAATAGATTATAGGTATGCTGAAAAAGAGATTCTATAAATGTGTTCGAATGCAAAATTACTAATTTTATGTATAGTGTCTTAATACTTTATAGCTGGCGTTGAGGCTCAGAAATGTTTGGTTTGCTCTTAAATAGGCTATGGCAGAATAATTTTAGATAATTCAGAAAAAGGGCACTTGTTTTAAAATGTGGATTTGTGAGGGCTTTTTTCTAGATTCTTTCAGCCAGGCTGGGCTAAGCTTCCATAGCATGAAAACCAATGTCCCAACTTACAAAAACGGGTCCACTAAAGAAACTATTTTCAGCATTCATTAATTTGGAAACTTTCTTTGTTGTGATATGGGTAAGCATCAAAGTACTCATCATGATTATGGTATCCAGTTCTATGTTCTGATTAGATCCAGGCTATTTCTTTCTAGAAACTACCATGAAGTCAGTGTGTCAGGGGAAAAAAAAATTCCCCAGAAGGTGAATTATGTTGTACAAAATTATGTTTGCAAAGGGTTTAATCTATTCATTGAGAGCATTCATTTTTACAGAACCAAGCAAAAGCACTGGAAGGTAAATGTTCTGTAGTAAAATAGGTATTTTAACAGAGAATAATATGGGAAGTCAAAAGTCCTGCCCATTAGGCCTATCACTGACTTCACAATTAGAGGATAGTTGTACCAGGTGAATCCCACAAATGGCCCAGGAGGAAGACCAATGCTGAAGGCAAAGACACTTTTTTTTTGTTTCATGGCTAGTACTAGGTCCATCTGCTCTTCCTAAGGACAGATGTATCTTCTATTCAAAGTTCATCATTCCTTTCAAATGAAGAATTACCTTCTACAATTTTCTGGTATTCAGTGGGAGAAGAGAAGGCACTGAGTTATAGGTTAGGTAAAGCTGTATTAGAAACACCTTTTCCTCCTTCCCCAAATTTAAAATATTAATTTATAGTGGTGATCAATTTTTTCCTTTCTCATTGTGTGTTTATTTTATTAGCTTTGTACTATGAAGAATTTCCAACCTAGAGTGAAAAACATAATGAACCCTATGTATTCAATCACAGTTTCAACAATTATCTATATTGTGCCATTCTTATTTTATCTATTACCTCCAATTGTTTCTTTTTCAAAAGAGTATTTTAAATAAAATCTCAGCTATATAAACCAAACAAAAAGAACTATTTCTTAAAAATAAAACCCTAACACCTTTATTACACCTATCGATACTGACAGTTTTAAAATACCATCTAGTATGTAGTCAATATTCAGATTTCCCCAATTGTCTCAAAAGCTTCTTTTTATATAGTTGGCTTGTTCAGATTAGAATCTGAAGTCCACACATAGCATTTAGTTCACATATCTTTTCTTTTTACTGATGTATAATTGACACATATCTTACATCTCTTTTAACTTAAGAAATTTAGCCACTTTTCCCCCTCTATTCCTTTATTACTATTCATTTGTTGAAGAAACTGGGTCATTTGTCCTGTTCTGAACAGTTATGTCATTTAAAATGTTCTTCTAACACTTGTATTTCTTGTAGTTAGACCTAGAGGCTTATAATTAAATCATTTTGATATTTTATACCACATACTTTGGGGGAATATATGGAAGGTCTTCCAAAGTTTGAATTCAGGAAATGACACCTGAAAACAAACACATTTCTGGCTAATGAACTAGACTAAGGAAAAAGACTGAGATTTCAAACTGGTATGTTCCTGCTTTCAGTATGTATTTATTGTAGTCATAGTAACAGTGGTATAACCTTAAAAATTTGTGCTTTAAAATAATCCCCGGACATTATCACAAATAAAATATATTATGATTCTTATTTCCATGGAAATGCAACCTTCTTTCCTAAAGTTAAATTGATTTCATCTAGTGAAGAAGCTACTCCCTATTACTAAATGTAAAAAAGACACTTAGAGACAGTAGCGCTAGCACATGATCGAGAAAGTCTGTGTCTGGTGGTAATTATCAATAATTACCTTACACTTACATTTGATTCCTAATATTATTTTTGCTTTTAAGAAAGCTTATAGAAAGTTATCTTAAAAAAAGACTAAAAAAGGGGGCACAGTAGGAACATGAAGCACAAGTCCTAGGGAAAAAGTGAACAAAGCTATTAATAAAGTGTGTGGGTGATTTTTATTTATATAGATGAGAATGTTTTATGTATGATTTTCTAAAAGTTATGCAAGAACCAATTGTACTGAATTGTAATAAAACTGCTCCATACTGGGAATTTTCCTGACACACTGCCAGTTCATCTTAGTGGAGGCTGGAAACAATAGGGTTTCTTATTGCCCTGATCCCAAGTTCATACTGAAGACAGCTAATTTGATCTCTATTAAAACATACAGTGTAAAATAAAAATTCAACATTTCATTTTAGTTTATATGTCTGAAAAATACACAAAGCAAGGAAAGATGAAACTGCCTTTACTGTATGCTAGGAGAAAACACTGTTTATTAAAAACAACCTTGCTTTACAGAATCAAGACCGTTAAAAATAT